TCGGACGCATTATCTTTCGGACCAGAAGTGGGGCAGGCTCACTCTTATCGTGGACAGGTAGGTTAGGATTGTCAACCGAGGTATCTTGCTGGAGACCATTCTGGTGCGCAGCGGAGACGATCGCGGCCGCTGAATGCGCAGTCCGAACATACTCATTATCGGACAGTCGGACTCACGGGCTCCTGCTGGCTAGCGAGCTGAGCGAAGGTATATCCCCTTGCTACTGTACTTAGCGCCATGCAGGCGTACCACCCATCAGCTACTACGTGCGCTCTGGGCGTGCGCATGCGCACTAGACGTGTACACACGTGGGTGAACCTGTCACCAACCAGAGCCAGAGCCAGAGCCAGTTGCAGTGACCGGTTTCCGCAAAGTGCGAAGTCGGCGGCTCTCAACCTCTCCTAATCGTCAAGCCGAATTAACAGGTTCATAGGGGACAGATGGTACGTGCTGAATGGGGGAATGAAGCGGCCGTTTTTACGTCACATTGTATGTTGCCCTCTCAACCTAGTTGCTTTAGCTAGGTCTTTGGGATCACCTACCAGGGCGTGCAACGGCGTGTTCCACACACATTGAGTATATATATATATATGGAGCTAGGGGCTAGGGTGCTCGCCGCCCGTGATCAGGACTGTGACGCGTGGTGATCTGCTCGTCTAGTCTGGGCCAGGGCATGAAACAAATAAACCAGCCGACCCATGCGAGTTCGATGTGCTGTTATTGGGCCGGTGATTCCCTTTCGTATATACTGGGCGTCTCTCTGTAGCCTACTGAAAATGTTATGTCAATGAATAGATAGTGGGGTCCCCAAAGGTCTGATAAGATAGCTACCTGCGTAGAACTAAGACAGTTCTGTTTACAGCACAGTAGTACACATTGCATACAGAAGTGAGAGGAGACGCCTTCTGATTCGATACGGGTACCGTCGGCTTGTTGACTACATAGTGATATGGACATGGTTGGGACAAGCTGAGCCACTTACTCGTCGTTTCACATGCAAATCGGGCTACAGTGTCTACCTGAGCAATCTCAAATGCAGACAGGGCGCTCCGAAGCATTGGGGTTGTATCGTGTCAGCATTGACGCGATCCACGCAGTCATCGATGGCGCAGTCGAGAGGCCTCTCCTCTGCCGGGCTGTCTTCGACAAGCTCATTCCAATTGAGTCGCCGTTTTACTACCATTTTCTTAACAACTAAGACGGTAGATTCTTCGTGTCTTCGTGGTTCTGCAGCCCTTGTAAGTGCAAGGCCTTGAAGGAGGAAGGCTAAGAACCACGAAAACACTCTAATTTGCCATCTTACCTGTACATAAAAAAACCTGGTCTGTCTATTGTGGCTTATACATTCTCCTCCTAGGCTCAAGGTGATGGCTACAATACAGGAATATGCACCTTTACGCGAGAGAGTGTATATTGGCTATGTGGGTCCATCTGTTTCCGACCACAATGAGAGCCTTCTTCCTTCAAGGCCTTGCACTTATAAGGGGTGGACCCAGGAAAGCATGACATCAGCAATAAAAGCATTCGTTGACGACGGTATGAACGTCAGGGGAGCTGCTGAGTATTATGGGGTGCCAAAGAGCACACTTGGGGATCGTATAAGTGGCCGTGTTCTCCCGGGAGCCAAAAGTGGCCCAAACACCTACCTGAGTTCTGAAGAGGAAGAAGAGCTAGTAAATTTTCTTTGCCGCACAGCCCTTGTTGGACATGCACGAACTCGGAAAGAAGTGTTAGCCATTGTCAATCGCATACTGTCTTCTCGGGGCAAGAATAAAGATGTGTCTCCTGGTTGGTGGGCAGCATTTGTAGCGCGCCATCCAATGCTTACGTTGCGTACTCCTGCAAGATTCTGACATGTACATGTATGCCCTGAGTACCTGCCACATGTTTGACGTGAATTTTTTCGATTCAGAGAAGTCAAAAGCCGTGACATTCTTTCTCTGAAGTAGTCGCTCACAGCTGCAGCAGGTAAACTCTGGATCGTCTGCCAGTTTTTTCTCTAGCTCTGCGATCATCTCCGCATGCTCTAACAGCAATTCTGACTCAATGTCAGGCAGACTTGACTTCTGGATGTCGACCGCAGACTGAACGGTAGACTTTCTGTCTGCGTTTTCACTGCTAAACAGTTTTTTATAGTCATCGATGCCACAAAACAATGCAAGCGACGCAAATTTACCTGCCTTAAGAGCAGAGTCAATGCTGGGAATTAGCTTGTGGTAACGAATAGCTTCATACAGTGTCGTGAGAAAACTTCGTAGCACAGGAGAGTGCGGGGCTGCTGCTCTAAGTGTCCTCAACTTACTGTCGCAGCCAGCAACAGTACACGTCAACGGATGACCGGCTAGGTCACGGCCGGTAGCTTTACACGTGTAGTGACCATTCTGACAGCCAGTGTCTACTGCATCTAGACCTCGCCGTAGCGTGCGCACTGATTCAAACATTGACTTGAGGTCAACTATGCGCTGCTTTTCGTCTGGTGTTGGAAGTTTGCACTCTGAAGTGCACTTCCATTTTAACGGCTGTTGGGTTTTGGGATCTCTTCCCCCAATTTCCTGTGCAAGAACACACCTTCCTTGCTCGTCCACAGGAATTGGAGTGTTTCGAGGCTCCCGAACCCAAATCTCTCGTTCAACAACATGCCTTCCTTGTTCGTCAACAGGAATGCGCAATCTCAGAGTTTTGCCATTGGCATAACTCTGGTCGTAAAAGTACGGCTCTGATGATGCCATGTGGCAGCAATCTCCAAAGTCGTCAACTGAAATTTGGATGGCATTCACCTTGCGCACACTTGCCAGAAAGATTCCAACGACCTCTTTCTTCTTTTTTAAAGCCATACCGACAACCTTGCGTACAGCAATGTTGCAGACACCGTTTGTAAGTTTTTTTGATTTTCGCATGTCACCAGACTTGTTAGAAGCGGTTTTAAATGCACAAAACAAGTCGTTCACAAGTGAGCCCTTTCTTAATACTCGCAACTTCATGTTTTTGATAAAAAACTCAATAGTATACTGTTTGGGCTCATGCAAAGAGTAGGTACATACCACTTTTTGGGGTTTCTTCAACTCCTTAGCACAGCGCACTAATTTTGCTGCTCGTTTTGAAAGGCCAGATTTGTAGTAACCCTTCTGTTTGTTCAACAACAGACGCGAACAGCACCGTCTGTAATAATCCTGCATTGTGCGCTTACGTTGCACAGTGTTTTTGTTATAATAATCCTGCATTGTGCACTTACGTTGCGCAGTATTTTTGTTATAATAATCCTGCATTGTGTGCTTACGTTGCGCAGTATTTTTGTTGTAATGCACCACATCTGCAATTTTCTTTGGAACAGGGTTGGAGTTGTACCTGTCCTTTGCTACCTTTTGTTTTTTACTAGGATCAGCATTGTAACGATTTCTTTCAGCTTCCCGCTTGTTGCTCGGGTCGGCCTCGTAAGATTTTTCTGAGCCTGTAGCTTCTTGCTCGAGTCGGCCTCGTAAGATTTTTTCTGAGCCTGAAGCTTCTTGATCGGGTCAGCCTTGTAAGATTTTTTCTGAGCCTGAAGCTTCTTGCTCGGGTCGGCCTCGTAAGATTTTTTCTGAGCCTGAAGCTTCTTGCTCGAGTCGGCCTCATATACTTTTTTCTGTGCCTCACATTTCTTGCTCGGGTCGGCCTCGTACACTTTTTACTGTGCCTCACATTTCTTACTTGGGTCGGCCTCATACACTTTTTTCTGTGCCTCTCATTTCTTACTTGGATCGGACTCGTACCTTTCCCTCTTGGCTTGCTTTAGTTCATCCTTCTTTTTCTCATAATAAGCCTTGTTATAAGCCTTTTTCTTTTTGTTTGATAAACCAAGGCATTCTAACGCGCAGGAGCTATAAGAATAGCTAGTCCGTAAATGACCAATATCAAGCGCGTTCAACTGAACACAAGTCAGTATTGACCACTGCACGGTGAAGTTACGTAGCACCGCACACTACACAAAACTCACCAAATTGCTGTCTCCTCACGTACACTTTCTCTCCTCCGCAACTCTAAGTCCCCCTTCCGTCCCACAGTGAAGGTTGGCAAGGAAACACAGAGACCGAAAGAGAGCAGAGCGCTGCCGCCGTCGTCGGAGTCGTCGAGAGCTAGCGCAAGGAGTGAGATTCCCGTCGCTCGGGGTTACGCGCGCTTGCGCAATGCGCGCGCCTAAAAGAGCTCCGCACCGCATGCGCATAATTGCACATAATTATGCGCACTGAGCTGAGCTGAGGTCGGTAGCGCATGCGCACAGCGGTTTCTCCAAGCAAGCGCAATGGAGCCACGTATGCATGCTACCAATCTGGTTGTCATGAAAATGTGTGTGTACCTAGTTGCATCTCCATGCGTGCTATATACCTTTAGCGAGTTGTAGAAGTGAAGATTTAAAGTAAAGTGCCTGAGGCTATTTGTTGTTGCTTAAACAATTTGGTTGTCATGGAAATGATGTTACACGCTTACGTACCAAGTTTCATTTCCATGTGTGGTACCGTTAGCGAGTTTGAGGAGTGAAGAAGTAAATTTAAAGTAAAGTGCCTGAGGCTACTTTGTGTTGTGGTTGTCATGGAAACAGTTTATAATGCATGCGTACCAAGTTTCATCTCCATGTGTGGTACCGTTAGCGAGTTTGAGGAGTGAAGAAGTAAATTTAAAGATAATCGTCTGAGGTTTCTTCAAACAGTATGCGGTCGTCATGGAAACATGTAGTTGTCATGGAAATGATATAATAGGCATATGTACCAAGTTTCATCTCTATGCGTCCTACCATTAAGGAGTTTGAGACGTGAAGAAGTAAATTTAAAGAAAAGTGCCTGAGGCTATTTGTTGTTGTTTATCAATGTGTATTGTTGTGTTTTTGATGTTGGGTATTGAATACATTATGTATACAAAGTTTCGTTCACATAGCTGTTACAATTAATGTGAATTACACTGACTCATCTAGTATGCCTATTAAAATGTATTGTCCATTATAATGTATTGCCTGGGGCAATTTTTACAGTAAACAACATTGTTTACAAACAAAAAAAGTATGATGAGTCCCATGTGGTTATCGATATGTACATTCCTACAAAATTTCATGGCTTTATCTCTTTCGGTTTTTGAGTTATGCTGGTTGAAGAAGAAGAAGAAGATGATGATGAACAAAACTCCCTATCATAGCCCCCCCTCATACATCTATGATGCTAGGTACCATGTCAATCCCTATATACTAAGTAGTCCCATGCGCTTGGAGGTCCGTAAATTAGTGGCCTTTGGCCATAAATGCTCCCATGCCTGTAGTAATGTTAACAGACTACTCCCGACATATCACGGCGGAGAAGAGCACAACAGCAGGGTCAGGGTGGGCGGGAGAACGAAAGTTGTGGCTGAGAGATTCGTACGGCGGCGATGCTTTGCTGACTGGATTCGAACTTCGTGCGCTTTTTATGGACGCCACGGCGCAATCCGCTGCAACCGCACGCTCGTCCGTGCGTGCCGTCGCGTCGCGCGTCATGCTGGTGGCCCGCCGCCACGCCGTGTCGCGACGGCTGCCATATGTCCTCATTCCTGGCCGCTCAACCTGCACATGCGCGTCGTCCGCGTGGGGCGTGGCCTCCCCCGACTACTAACCGGTGCGCGCGTGCGATGTCCGTGTTAACCTAGTTACACTGCGTGGAACTTCATTTAACACAGGGAGTCTCTTACGTAGCTGTGCCAGGCGTGCTTTTCTAGGTAGTGCCTACAATTGAACAGATGGAGGTAGTCGGGAGCATGCACCGCCCAGGCAATGATAAGTATTTTTCTGCGCATGTGTACCTAACACACTGCCGGGCCTCCGCGTCCAAAAGGCCAACCCCCCATGACTAAGGCTGCCGGGTGGTATTTGTACTCCCATGCGCTGGAGGTCTATAGTGCTTTGGCATAAATGCCCCAAGGGTGACCGAAGCGTCACTCGCGCAGCAGCATAATTTAAATATGTCTAGGACCGGTAAGTATATACAACAACCTTCACGCCGCCATTCTGCGCGACACTCCCGAGAGGTCGCTGCGTGGGATACGCACGTATGCCAGATACGCGGAGCTGGACCATCTGCCCAACATCTTGATGACCGCGTCTTCAATTCCTGCCGCCGCAGCCGACGTCGCTGCCCCGATCCGGAAACTATGCCCCGAATACGGTGCCGGATTAATCCCGACCGAGGATAACGCGTCTCTGATGCGACTGACGAGAGCCTGGCGGGTTAGAGGCCGCCCGTTCCGCCAGATGAACATGGGTCCTGGCTGCAGACCCCGCACCTCGATATAACTGAGGAGTGCGGCCACTGGGCACAAGTCGCGGTCCGTGCGTCCGAGGTGGATGGTGACTCCTGCGCGGAAAGGATCTGTCTTGGACGCCTTGATTCGCAACGACACCATAGACGGGGCCTCCCGAGAGTCGATTGCTATGTCTGTTATGGACAGGTGAACTCCCGGATCGTAGCCTGTCAATGTCAGCACCGTCGCCTCGCCCGATCTTAAGAACCTGAAGAAGCAGGTACAGGCGACGGCCCACAGCATCCGGGTATCGTAGGGTGCTGCCTTGGCTGATCGTTCCCAAGCTAATCGGAGCGATCTCAGGACGGCACTCGTTATTGGTAGCCGTGGGCGGCTGACGGTCACTGCCTGCAGCCTCTTCACTCCTTTTAGAACAGCCTGGAGTAATGGCATATTACCGAAGTCCGGCTCGACCCCGTACCGCAGCAGGTGCAGCTGCCGAATCCCCGATAAATAGCCTTTCATGGTTGAGTGGGCGAGACTCTGCGCCGCCAGCCACGCAACGAACCTCATAAGGGTGTCTTGGCACAAGGGTAATGGAGCAACAGAATAAAGTGCACAAAAGGACAAATATCGAGATTGGGCCGACCCGTATGTTCGACGTGTAGCCGGCGATAGAGCGTGCTGCAGAAAACCCTGAACCAATCGATCCAATCTCGCGAGGTCCAGGCGGGGCGGGCTTGGCTCAGGTGCTGCGGTAGCTCCGGCGGGATGACTGTGAGCTGAGAGGCGGCATGTGGCACCTTCACGAAAAAGAGGCGGAGGTTATTGCGGGAAAGTGCATCCGCTGCCACATTAGATGCCCCTGGAGTATGCTGCGCCGACATTTCGAAGTCGAAGCGCGCGCTGGCATAAAACAGACACCTGAGGAGGTGACATAGGAGAGGGTCACGCGCCGATTGTCGATTGACGACCTCGACGACCGCCCCATTGTCGCATCGACAGAGCACCGTCAGACCATGCCATGTCCTACCCCACAGGAGAGACGCCAACATGATTGGGAACAGCTCCTTCGCTGCTATAGACTGTCCCGCAATGGACAGGCCGCACCATTGAACCTGGAACCACAGAACCTGGAACCAGTGTTTTCCAAAACGCTCCGCAGCCCCAACTGCCGGAAGTGAACCACCACTCAATATCGGCCCTGCACTCGGCGCTCAGTCGAACGAAATAATGCGGTTTAAAGTGACTGGTACCCGCCAACAGATCGTATATCCGCCTCAGGAATAATCTACCTGGGCGGACAACGTAGGCCGCGTGCTGCAAGGTCCCTACCAGGGACTCAAGGTCTCTCCGAGTTCCGGCAGAGCGACCATGCCACTCCTGGAGAAGAGATCCAATGCGCTGCAGTTTCTCCGCCGTAAACTCAGTGTCATTGCCACGGTCGCCCTCGCCTGAATACCCAGAATGGTCAACACACACTGCCGGTCCCCTCCGTCTTGTTGACAGAAATCGCCATCCCCAATGCCTCGCTGTCGACAAGAAGATCTGTAGACCGCGTGCACATTCGTCCGACCGTTGCGTGCACCGACGCGATGAATCGAAATCGTCGATGTGAGTGACAGATGCTCCGCACCCCTCTGGACCGCACCACCATTCCAGAGCGTCAGCTACGGCTGAATTGAAAATATAAGGGGTGCCTGAGCGGAGGCCAAACGGCAGAGTGGCCATCGATGTATGTATGCCCCTGCCATCTCATGCCCAGCAAAGGACGGTCGTCTGGATGCACCGGTATTTGACGATACGCGTGCTGGACGTCCGACTTGGCAACGAGAGCCCCTCTCCCTGCCCGGAACACTGCCTCTGTGATTGTGTCCACTGATATGAACTGTAGGGAGCAGACTGTCTGGTCTATCCCGTCATTTACGCTCCGACCCTCCGGGCTGGATAGGTCCAGAATGAGGCGCCACTTTCCTGGTTGGTGGCACTTCGGAATAACCCCGAAGCTGCTTAATTGCAGCTGAGGCAGTGGGGAGGATGGAAACGGACCGAGACACGGGCCGCCCGGCACTCTTGGGCCAGGTACTCGGAGACGACCTCCGGATGCTCGTACGCTGAGTGCATATTCCGGCGGCACGACCGTGGGGCTGATCCCGTCTGGCGGTCGAAGGCAATGCGGAAACCATGGCTTATTCCCTGGATAATGTAGTCGCGAAAATGGCGATCAGGATGGCCCTCTAACGCCTCTGCCCATTCGCCCGCTTTCAGTGGTGTCATTATCACGGATATCTGCCGAGAGCTCTGAGCTTCCTGTACTGGTCTGCGGGAGTCCAGCGCTAACAGTTTTGCAGTCCATGGGTGAGACCCGATGGGTCCAAGATCTACACGAGGGGTAGGCACTCAAATAAGTATCGAGTACACACAGAAATCTAGATCCCTATAGGCCGATCTGCGCAAATATCACACCCGCTGGGTGGAGGATAGTTGAGTGAATGAACGCATGCCCCCTGCTGAGGTGCTACGCCTGCCCCCCCCCTGCTGAGGTAATACGCACAAAACGCACCTGCCATGCGACCCAAAACCCCTTTGACCACAACGTGCAGCTATACACCATGCTTACGCGGCCGCCGAGTGTTGGTAGCTACCAGAGTTTGGGACAAGATCCATTGAAGTAACACATACACATAATACAGAATCATATGAAGCGTATATATTAACGTGCTAACAGGAACAGATAGTAGGTAAGTGCCTCAAACAACAGACGATCTCCCACAAAACATTCCATTTTCTTTGATGTACAGGACCTAGCGGGGAGGTCACCCCCACACACATGGCGATACTTGCATCTGTCCCCAAAGGAGCATGTGCCTCTGGCGTTGAATTGTGAACAGGTATCAACTGGCCACAGATGCCTCTTTGCAGGCGGAGCTTCCCTCGGACCAGTAGCCTTTCGGGAGCCTCTTGACGGTCCAGGCCGATGAGGGCATTCCGAGTCTCCATGGGCCGAACTGTCGCAGTACGTGCAGAGGGTGGCCGGCCTCGCTCTTCCCGTGAAGAACCGGGTGTATAGGTCTGTATCCAGACTGGACCACGACCGATTTCCCGAGGCTGCTTCGTTGATGCGAAAGTGTGTGTCATAGGCCCGCCAGTGCAACCCGTCAAAGTTCTGGCTGGCCCGGATGACAGTTAGGGCGTAGGCCAGTAGCTCCAGCGTCCGCAATGGGTCGGCGGACACCACTGCCGCAGAGTAGACGAGGAAAGCCTGCATCCAGTCAGTGATGCTGGAGATGTTCCGTCTTCGATGGCGAACCACCTCGTACCCTGGCAGCAGTGAAAAACGCGCTACCTGGCCTCCCAGAGCTGAAGAGTGGTCGGCCGCGTTGACTGCTGGCAGCAGGTCGGCGAAATCGACATATTTGCCGCATTTGATCTGTAACAGGAGGTTCTTGGGGATGGTTGGAATGCAGCTGGCCACCAAGACGCGCTCGGTCGCCACTGCGGAAGCCGGGTGAGGCGCACCCAGAAGGGCTTGCATGAGGAAAGATGCCAGCCCGCTGTCGGCAGCGGAGGACGCCAACCCGGATGGATTGACCCCGAGATCGCCCGCCGCTAGCAGGTGACTGATTGGAGTCGTTGACGCTGGCGCCGACGAGGAAGGCGGCAGACCCGGGAAGGAGACGGCACCCCCTCCAACCATCGATGTTACTGGTAGATCCGGGATAACGCTCGGCAGGACGCCCAACGACGCCAGCGGTGTCGATGCTACCATCATGATACAAAGTGAGAATACAAACACAACCGGTATTACCCATCGAGACCCGCTGCAGGCGCCGCGAACGCTGGCCGAGCCATAGCCGCTGCCGCCTGCTGGCGGAATGCATGAACAAGCAACTATAGGCATTGCACAATAGCCCAGATGTAGCTACGCTCGTGTTTGATTGGAATGCCATGTAGAGCTGGATGCCATTGGTGGAACTCCGTGGCTAGGCTAAGCTACGCACGTATCTACCTCCCCCCCTAACTTAGCGTATCTACCTTCAGGCCCAGGTCGCCGCGAGGTCACCGCGAACGCTAGCCGAGCACCGCAGCTGTCGCCTGCTGGCGGAATGCATGAACAAGCAATAGGCACTGCCCCCTAGCCAATATGTAGCTACGCCCGTGTTGGACTGGAATGCCATTGGTGGAACTCCGTGGCTAGGCTAAGCTACGTACGTATGATACCCATCTCCCCCCGGCAACTAGCGGAAAATTATACCTTTAGGCCAAGGCCGCCACGCCTCAGCTGCTGCGGGACGCCGCCGCTGCCAAGACTCCCATAGCATAACACCCAGCTACGCTGGCGGTCAACAACTCACCGGCTGGAGCGGTGGGGGCTGCTGCCACCGGAGCTGCCGCCGAGACAGTAGTAGTTGATGGGGACGGCTCCCCCAGACGTCTGGCCGACTGCATCATGATCTGGAGCACGTGGGAGGCAAGGTCAGCCTGTGCAGCTGACGACCCTGGAGCGACCGTTCCTCCTGCAGGGGCTGCCACCGCCGTGACAGAGACTGTTGACGACGTGGGAGTGGTGGAAGACGACGAGGACGCCATGGCTGAGAACGGGACGGCTGGAATCAGCGAAAAAGAACGAAAGTTCTGGCTGAGAGATTTGTGCGGCGGCGATGCTTTGCTGACTGGATTCAAACTTCGCGCGCTTTTTATGGACGCCACGGCGCGATCCGCTGCAACCGCGCGCTCGTCCGTGCGTGCCGTCGCATCCTGCTGGTGGCCCGCCGCCGCGCCGTGTCGCGACGGCTGCCATATGTCCTCATTCCTGGCCGCTGAACCTGCGCATGTGCGTCGTCCGCGTGGGGCGTGGCCTCCCACGACTACTAACCGGTGCGCGCGTGCGACGTCCGTGTTAACCTACTTACACTGCGTGGAACTTCATGCTATCCCGTGTAAAATACTTCGCGAGTGCGTGCGTAGTCGCGTGTTTTACCGCGCGCAATGTCTTTTGCGGGAACACGCGAAAAATCGTCAAAAAGCGGAGGTAGATTTCGCGCGCGCACGCACGCGCTTCAACCAAATTCCGCGCACACAGCGCGCACGTAGCGCGTTATACACACCGCTTCCTTTGCGTCGAACACGTATAATGCGCAAGCACTACGGTCGTGCGCAAGCGTAGCTACTGTTCAATAGTGATAAGTGAAGGTTCAACAGTGATAGTGGGATCTGGATCTGTATTCCACATCTGGTCCTATGGAAACTTATGACGTAATTGTCGGCACTTTGGATTCAAAGTTTTTTGTTGAAGGTTTATCCACCTTCTTTCTCGACGTGCGTCCACCTCAGCACCATCCAACGGATAGATGTAGTCGACATGGCCTGCAAAAATGGAAGTCTTACTATAATATTTTATATTACCTGTCTCTATCCTTACATCGCATTGCCCACAACCGGAATCCAGTTATTTTATGTCATTCCGAACAGGCCTCATGCAGTTACCATGTGCGAGCTCCTCATTGGAGAAGAGTAGCATCAGCAAAGCTAGTGCTAACTTTTCAGGGTTATTTGTGCTCCTTTCAGCATCTAGGACCTGAGCTTGAGTTGCACTATTGAGTATGACTTTTTGCCGTGCAGGTCCCACTGGGTTGCCAAGGAGAGCTCCTGATGCTGCTGCTGATGCTTCTCCCAATGCTGCAGGTAAATAAGTTGAATCACATTGTGATGTGTGGGAATCAAACATTAATTCCACTAACTATTTGGTAAATCTTGGGGTGGTTCTCTCTCTCTCTCATCCGACTTGCAAGTGTATGTGTGCAAATATGAGAAAATGAGACACCACACATTCAGATCAGTTTACATTCAAGAGTGACACCGTGCAGTAACAAGACAACAGACATACAAACACACCTTCTTCTTCTTAAGAAGGGGTTTTCTAAGGTAGTCTTTAAGGGACGCCATCTCCTTCGTCATTCTCTGGAGTGTCAGGTTCATAGAGGCAAGTGAAGCCTGCATCTGAGAGCTGCACTGCACCATCAGTTCATAGCCCTGTATTAAAAAAAAGAGTATTGTCTAGCAGCCCCATTGTTGTGCTTCCTGTGTGGAACCCACCCAGTGCCACTAATTGGCTGATGCAACAAGTCTAAGCAAACTGCAAACTTTGTTGCATCAGCCATTACTTACCCTACTGGGGAAAAGGCCAGGGTCGGAGAAGGGGTGGGAGTAGGAAGAGCCCATCGAGCCCACTGACTGCACATCATCCTCGTCCCTGTATGTTGATGTACCATAGTACGTACTGTGAACAGGAGTATTGTGCTGGTAGCTCATAAGAAGTGGCCTTCTTGATGGTGGAGTAGGGGAGCTGGACCTCCGTCGTTTAGGTAGTGGGGTTTCAGCTGTCTCTAGTGCAGGGGAAGTGGCTGTGGGGTCAGATGTAAGCACCCCAGGAGATGTGTCCACAGTGAGAGAACCTTCTGCGAGAGAGTTTTCTTTGTGCCTAGTTATCAGACAAAATAGCACCAGATTTTCCAGATCCATTAGGAGTGGAGGATTTATCTGGAGGGCCAGGATCAGCCAGTGGGGGAGCTGTTTCCAGTGAAAGGGAAGTGGCTGGGTGGTCAGATCCAGGAAGATTTAGACACAGAAAAGACAGGAAAAATCCTCACCCCTATCCACAGTGAGAGAACCTTCTGTGAGAGAGTTTTCTTAGTGCCTAGTTATCAGACAGTACACAATGACATCACCAGATGCATTTGGAGTGGTCTCTTCCGAAACATGTGCAGCCTGTATATCAGCCAGCAGGGCTGTGGCTATCTCAGTACTGGCCACCTGCGTGGCCTTGGCCAACTCCTAGTAATGGTAGGAAATACTAGAAATACTGAAGCCTGACCTTCTTCTTAGATTTAAGTCCCTTAGCTGATCTCTAGGAGTACATACACAAATCGCTTATATACATTTAAAGGTGTGCTCTATACACAAACCTTTTTGGGCTTCTCAGTTCTGACCTTCACCTTTTTTGTTGTGACCTTGTTTGGCACTGCATATAAAACCTCTGTAGCAAGCATATGGGGAGATACTAACTTAACACACCTTCATTTCCTTCCATCAGCTCTCCCTCCCGGCATAGCTCCCCATCTTCACCTATCAGACACGGTAAACACACACACACACACACATACCTGCATCAACTCCCTCCTTGTTTTAGGCAGAACTGCAAGCACTGCCTGCAACACAGACCCTCGAGTTATTCTTTCTTACATACCATTACCCGGAGTTCCAGACACTTCTACAAAAAAAACTACGAAAAAAATTAGCAGATTAGTTGGCAACCCAGGGAAGTCACTCACCCCTACCATTCTCGGGCTCTTTCTCCTCTTTCTCCCTCTCTATCTGTGCTGCAAAGCATTCTGTCCGTGTCCCTGGATTTTAAGCTCATTTTATGCCCCACATACCGACACCTGAGCTAACAAGCAAATAAAATTTGGGCTGGAAAGGTACCCTCCTTCAGCCTGCATGACACCCTTGCTCCAGCAACAAATCCATTAGCAGGGCATAGGAGATCAGCTATTTTCGTGTCTATGACAGAATGGTTTTCTTCTTCCCATTCCACCAGAAGATACTCTGGTCAGTTTTATGTCAAGAACAGTCAAACACAACTTGATCAGCTATTTATAAATACCTGGCCGTTTGCTCCTCTGAATAGCATCCAGTCTAACCTTCGCCATCTGCCTGGAGTCGCACGGCCTGCCGCTTCTTCTCTCCTGCTGCTGCTCCACGTGCGTTTTCCCGCTCCCCCGCGCGTTTACGCGTGCGTAAGGCGCGTAAACGCGCGAAGCGTGCTTAATAATGCAGGCGCGTGCGCGCGCGCAAGCGTGCATAGAGCGTGTTCAGTTAGCTCGCAGGGCCATGAGCAGAGAAGAGAGCGAGAACGAGAGCGAGGCCTACATAGCAGTGCTACTAGTTCTACTTCTGCTGATTCAGACATCGAGGAACTGTATGAGTCGTTTGACTTTGAAGATGATGCGTCTCACGCACATGCAGGAGCAGATGAACCCGTACACTCGAGTGCCGATTTCCGAGCCCCCCCTCTCTATAGCGGAGCGCTGGTGACAGCAGCGCAGAGTAACCTACTGCTTTTTCAGTATACCCTCCGCCACAGCTTAACGATGAAAGCCGTCACTGAGCTTCTTCAACTCCTATCTGTTCATCTCCCTAGAGAAGCTCGAATCCCCAAATCAGTCCATACATTAAAGCGTTTTATCCTTGAATCGTTTCGTGATGCTGTGGCTGAACGGCACTTTTATTGTGGTTGTTGTCAGCGTCCGCTTCCATCAGAAGATGCACGATGTTCAGGGCTAGGATGCAGCTTCGGAGATAAACCATCAGTGTTTATTACAGTCCCTAATAGTCAGCAACTCAAGAGGATCATAGAAGGTATGGTGTATGTTGTCTTGTTGGTAGGGTAATTTAAAGGGACGTTTTCATCCCCCAGATCCGCACACATGGTTTGCACTGCAAAAACGCTTTCAACTGAAGCCGCAGAAAGATATAATGACAGATGTGTATGATGGAGATGGCTATGCTTTACATTCCAATTTTTTACCCACCCAGCACACATATCTATCCTGCTAAATACAGATGGTGTTGCCATTTACAGATCTTCAAATGTTAGCATTTGGCCAGTATGGGGTGTGGTAAATGAGCTCCCTCCTACTCTACGGTAATGGCACACACTGCTACATATGCATGTTTTGTGGTCTCACTCTTATTTATAGCTTTCCAAGGCAGCACATGCTTCTACTTTGCACATTTTATGGAAGAAACAAGCCACTAATGAATGTGTTTTTAAGGCCAATAATAGATGAAGTCAATCTTCTTTAAAATGGGGTGTGCATGTATGTAGCATGGCGGTGACATATTTCTTTTTGTGTCTGCAGGTATTACTGTGCAGACACCTGTTGGTACCTTGGAGGCTAGGGTAATTCTTTTGAATTGCTCCGTGGATTTGCCTGCAAGAGCTATGGTTACCAATATGAAACAGTGGAATGGCATTAACGGTTGTCTATACTGTGAGGACAAAGGTACTACTGTTGGTGGAGATCATCTGCACCGTTACTGGGCAGCAAAAGATTCATGTGTAGAGAGGAGCCATACTTCTTTCCTTAGGTGTGCCACAGACACTGTAAGCCTTGGAACAGCAGTAAGTTGTGATGAAAGTTATGACTTTGTTACATGCAGACTCATTCACATGCAGGTGTGTGGGGTAAAAGGGCCCACTGTTCTTGCTCTTCACCCCTGCTTTGATACTGTGTGAGGGGTTGTGATAGATGATCTCCATGGCCTTTATTTGGGTATTACCCTTACTCTTCTGAAGCTTTGGTTTAATAGGGTGCACAAGGGGAAAGCATTTTTTATTGGTGACAAGGTACGTAAGGACTAACTAAAGTCTACCTGAGCCCTAGAAATATTGTCACAAAACACATCCAAAGCTAACACCATTGGAATCCTCTCAACTTCCCATTCTGATAAACATGAAACCTTAGCTATATGTCATCATAAGTAAAGTACCAGTACTTGTATAAACAGTTTACACAATGATTTCCCGGGCTCAGGTGAACACAAATATACTTTAGGTTATTGTAATCCTATCCAAGGTACAGCAGTGTGATGAAAGGTTGCTAAGTATCAAGGTCACTGATTGTATATCAAGAGTTCCCTGAAATAAAAAACTGTTTTTCTCCATTCCTGTGTTCCATGAGATTATGCCAGAAGAATATCTCCACCACTTAGCACTGCTTGTGTGTGCAATTTACATTTACTCGTCTCAGGCCATAACTGTATCAAGAGTTCACCACCCTCTATGGTAAGTGATACATTGAAATGCGAATAATATGTATCATGTGGCATGCATTTAGGTGTGAAAGCTATGTGGTATGCTTCCCGTCGTCGATTTTTGTTGCATTGATTATGTTCCTTCCATACGTGCGCATCGTGCGCATTTGCAATAGCATTTCCGCATTACGGACGAAGTTCAGCAGAGGGAGTGGCGTAGTATAAGAAGCGCCTATGCCTTATTCATTGCCTCTTAGAGCTCTGGGCGCGCTCAACCTACAGTAAATAATGCCCGCTTGTCGGCGTGGGAACGCGCGCGTCCGCGATATCAAACGTAAATTTTTTATGTGGAGAAATGCTACAAAATAAACAAAAAACAAAACAAAACAAAACAAACGAAACAACTAACAGATTAAATGATGCTGTCAATAGAAGGGGGCCAATGGGGAATCGATGGAGCCAAAGAGCGGCATTCCCACGCCAGAGAGAAACAGAGCAGCGCTGGAAGAGGTGACGAATTGAGTCCGCGGGAGAGACCCCTAAACGCTGGCCTAGGAGGCGACCAATTCTGGACAACGAGGTGGTTGTGGCCTCACTCATGCCGCCCAGGGCCTCAAAAGCAAGGGGGATGAAAGAGACCCCAACAGCGCGGCAAGCGGGGGCATGAGCTGACATCTTTCGATGCTCCGCAACAGCGAGGGCATGGCCAGCAGAGGAAGCAGCCCCTTGAAGGGTGAGGGGTTGAAGGGGGGAAATGACGGTCACATCCATAGCAGCTGGTTGACCCCGTTCCCAATTAGGAAGAAGGATGTCAGCAGGGCGGCTCTGTGATCCGGGGATGAGAGAAGGGACCTCCTTTCGCGGAGCCAAAGCAGCGGAGCGGGCGGCATGAAAAATGGAATCACATACAGAGTTGTGCCTAAGGATTCTATCACTGTTCCCCCCGCAACCGACCTGGTGGTCACCAAAGGGGTCAGCAGCTGAGTGGCAAACGCCGCATTTCACCCCCTCCTCAAAAATCGGGACCCCCAACCAATATTGTGGGCAAACCCGGAACTCACGATCCATGAAGTGAAGGCCGAGGGAAGGCCAAGGAACAGCGCTCAGCCAATCACCAGCATGGGGGAGAGAACACGATTGGGCAAGGGCCAGAGAACGGGTGTCAGGGGCGGAGGAGAGAAGAAGGTCGAAAGATTCCTGGTCAATTTCGTATGAGAGGGAGCGCTGCCGGAGGGGGACATCGATGTCCTGTAGAGAGACCCATTCTGGATGCCCAGCTGCGTACGTAAATTGACGTTCCGCGCGGTGATGCGCGGGTGTGGCGCGAACGCGACATTCCCGCTCAATGACGATTTCGCGCGTGTGTGCGCACTTAATCGCAATTCCGCGTTGCGCATCGCGAAGTATTTTACACAGGAAGTGCACACCAGATAACGCACACCCATAACTCCAATTGGTACCCATCCACGTTTCCAATCAACGCCCACCCAAGGGTAACTTTTGCCCCTTAGGTCCTCCAGCCCCAATGCCCTCTTTTAGGGTACCCCTTCGGAATGTTTGGTTTGAAGGTTTTAGGCGTGGGAGCAGGTGGCCTGAATGGGACACTTCCAAGCTTAGGAGCAGCCGTCCTTCTTGCATCCTCTGGGGAAAAGTCAAAGGGCACTGTTCCCCATTGTCCTCTTGAATCCTCTGGGGCAATGTCCTTCAGGGTTCTCTGGGGCAATGTCCTCCACTGTCCTCTGGCCAATGCCCTCCAGTGTCCTCCGGGGCAATCTCTTTCAGTGTCCTCCAAGCGACATCCTACAGTGTCCTCTGGGGCAATGTCCTCCACTGTCCTTTGGGGTAGTGTGGTGTCCTCCGTGACAATGTCCTCCAGTGTCCTCCATGGCAAGATCCTCCCAGGCAATGTCCTGCAGTATCCTCCGGGGCAATGTCCTCCAGTGTCCTCTTCGGTAGTGTGGTGTCCTCTAGTGTCCTCCATGGCAAGATACTCCAGTGTCTTCCTGGCAATGTCCTCCAAGCAATGTCCTCCAGTCCTCCTAGCACTGACCTCCAGTGTCCTCCGGGACAAGGTCCTCCCGTGTCCTCCGGGCAATGTCCTCCAGTGTCCTCAAGGGCAAGGTCCTCCACTGTCCTCCGGTCAGTGTCCTACAGGACAAGGTCCTCCTGTGTCCTCCGGGCAATGTCCTAACTTGTCCTCAACGGGAAGGTCCTCCAGTGTCCTCCAGTGTCCTCCAAGCACTGTCCTCCAGTGTCCTCCCAATTATTCTGTACGTAATCCCCTGTTATTCCCGTAGTCCTCCGTACACTGGATACCCCACCTCGATATATGTATCGTGCATATTCACTGTAAGTCAGTCACCAATAGTCATGATATAAACTGTGATTACTAAACTAATTATCAACACTTCCAAAGAGGCCGTCGTGGAAACTACTTAGCTTATTAAGAATAAGAAGTAAAGAGAGCGAAGGAAAGAGAGCGAATGAGGCACAAGGGGGAGCTCCTCGAGGAACTGGAGTCTCTATTGAAGAGGTCGAACCTCATAAGAAGAGCAGAAGATGGTACAAACTAACAGACTTACCACAACCTCTCACCTTCCCATCAGCCACAATATGTGGTGATCAGTTGAATGTGATAGGAGATGATCCTAATGGCGACTCGTGTTCTCTTGCAGCCCTACCATACCTAAAATAAAACGCAGCCTAAAATAAAACGCTGTTCAATATACTGATCATTCTACTGCCGTAGAAATGAGCAGAAGAAGTGTCCTCCAGGCAATGTCCTCCCGTGTCCTCTGGAGGACATTGCCGTCTGTGTCCTCGACAGTGTCCTCCATCATGATGTCCTCTAGTGTCCTCTCCAGTATACTTTCAAACTTGGTTAGATTGAGACGGCACTGTAAGAGGGCTTGAACCAGGCCATTTGGTGACCAGAATGTGTGCAATTCCCAAATGGAAAAGGTCCTCAAGCAAAACTCTGAAACAGGTGCCGAAACAATCATGTTGGTTGGAAAGAGTAGGACTAGGTGAACCTCAGGCCGGTCGAATTGCAGGAAAATAAAAGCCGGGTCTAAAGTTATCGCAGTTTGAAATTTCCAAAAATTGGGCAAGCCAGAGTTCTATTTTTGTAGAGGTCAAAGGTCAAAACAGGGTTGAATACTTCAAGCCTTCACCCACACAACTGTGTTGTTGTTTACAAGTATGACCAGTCTCTTCGGGTGACAGATATCTACATTCTTAACAAATTTCATCACTGTATGTTATTTCGTTTTGTGTTTATCTGAAGAAGAAGGAGAAGAAAGAGGAGAAGATGAACAAAACTCCCTATCATAGCCCCATACATCTATGATGCTAGTTACCATGCCAATCCCGTATATACTAGGTACTACCGTACTTAGTGATAAAGTAATGGTACTTTTAGTCCTACCGATTAGGGCTAAATTGATCTAGTGAACAGAAGGGCTAGGGTTAGGTAGATGCATCTTTCCTCTATCCAACAGAAAAGACCCCACCCCCTCAGGATTAAATATGACAGAGTTGCATTTGATGTCTAGCCCCAAACTGAACCCCCTGTAGTAATATATGAAGCTCAATATGGTCAGGAAGTGACAGGGAACATTATGCGCGTGGACCGTAAGTTTTGATGTCCAGGGTAGTAGGCCTCGATACTTCTAAGTAGGGCTAGGGCTATGACTTAGGTCCTCGATACTTGGACTAAACAGGGGTAGGGCATCGATTTTTAAGTGTTGGAAGTAGGGCTAGGGCTAGGGTATAGATACTTAAGTGTTGGACTAAGTAGGGCTAGGGCTTATACTTAAGTGTTGGACTAAGTAGGGCTATGGCTTAGGTCCTCGATACATGGACTAAACAGGGCTAGGGCATCGATTTTTAAGTGTTTGACTAAGTAGGGGTAGGGCTATGGCATTGATATTTATGTTTAACTAACTAGGGCTAGGGCATCGAGTGTTGGACTAGGGTAGTAGGGCTATGGCTACGGCATCGGTACTTAAGTGTTGGACTAAGTAGGGCTAGGGCATCGATACTTAAGTGTTCGACTAAGTAGGGCTTAGGGCCTCAATACTTAATTGTTGGACTAGGGCTTAGGTCATCGATACTTAAGTGTTGGACTAAGTAGGGCTAGAGCATCGATACTTAGCGGACGACGTGCGCATGCGCGAAATTTATTGCACGGTTGGCTGTTTTTTCTGCGAGTAGTGGGGAAGACGCTTCATGTGATTCTCTCGGGAGTTTGTTGCCTTATAATTGCAGATGCAGATCGAGAGAGAGGTGACAGTAATACGTGCATGAATGTGTATGTTCGCTGTGTAAAGCGGCCCGTTTTGAAGACTAAAGCTTTGACCCCTGACCTTTTCTTTTAGGAGCAGCTGGCTCACAAAATAGAGTACATAATAAGTTCAGAAAAGGCTGTATGGACAGTAGATGAGATCTAAATACTCAAAACAGCAGTAA